TCTAAAAGGAAAAAAATAGGAGAAAAATTTCATGACCTTAGACTATGCAAAAGAGGGCTTAGAACACTAAAAGCATGGACCATACCAGAAAAGAGACACTGGGCTTCATTAAAATTAAAACCTTCTGTGTCTTAAAAGACGCAGCTCAGAAAATGAAAAGACAGTCATAGAACAGAAGAAACGATTTGCAAGTCATACATTTGATAAAGGACTTGTATCCAGAACATTATTAAAAAAAAAAAAAAAAAGCTCTCGCAACTCAATAATAGAACAGACTACTTAATTAGAAAATGCGCAAGAGAGTTGAATAAACATCTCCCCAGAGAAGACTCTGAATGGGTAATAAGCACATGAAAAGTTGTCCAGCATCATTAGTCATTAGAGAAATGCAAATCAAAACCACAATGAGATACCATTACACCCTCAGAACTGGGTGCAGAAAAGACTAACCAAGCCATCCGGTGGTAAGGCTGTGGAGGGAGGGAGGGAGGAAGGGAGGGGCAGGAGAGGGAGAGAAAGAGGGAGGGAAAAATGAAGGGAGGGAGGGAGGGAGGGAGGGAAGGAGGGAGGGAGGGAGAGAGAGCGCCAGAGCACATTCTCAGTTGCTGGAAAAACAAACAAATAAAAAACTTTTAGAAAACCAGTTTAGGAATTTCTTAGAAAGTTTTTGCAGAATTTCCTCTCCAGCTTTGGGGTACACACTGAGCAGATAAAGACAGGTCAGGAGACACAGAGGATTTGCGCCATGGCTCCAAGCACAGCCCTGTACCCCAATACCAGTGGGTATGCCCCTCCTACAAGCGCACACACACACACACACACACACACACACACACACACACACACACACACACACACACACACACACACACACACACACACACACACACACACACACACACACACACACACACACACACACACACACACACACACACACCCCAAAACTACTGGACAAAAACTGACCACACATCTTGCCCTGAATCATAGCTCAACACATTCCCAGACACTGATCCCACACAGAATATTTTTCCTGACAACAGAGCAATGTTACTAGAAAGTTCTGCTGCGGTTCATAGTCATTGTGGGACCTGCACTGCTACATAACCCCAGAGATAAACAAGAGACAATGCAGGTCAGAAAAACACAGAAGGGAGTGAAAATGAAAGCTAAATTGGATTGACTGAATCACAGGGTGTAGAAGCACAAGCCTGTAAACCCAGCTATCAGGGAGGTTGATGTGGTATGATCCGAGTTCAAGGCTAGCCTAGTCAACATAGGAGAAAAGAAACAGTGGGGAATTCTGTTTGAGAGGTATTTTAGAGGACAAATTTATAGCCTGAAATGCTGTTAATAGCTATAATTCAGTCTCCTCCAAGGTCTTGGTAAAGGTACAAGTGAGCCCATGACTCAGAAGCCAGAGAAAGCCGACACATTAAACACTGAATAATAAACAGGCACCGGCACATCGCAAACCAGGGTGCGGTGAGTGGACACTCTGAGCTGTCACCAGCAGAATGAGACTCTGTACGACCTCAGCTCTGTCCTCTACACAGTGACTCATGCCTGGAATACCCGGTACTGGGGAGGCAGAGAATGGGAGGATCAAAGTCTGGGGCGAGCATGGCCGAAAGCTAGTAAGACCCCCATGCTAACAAAAAAGCTGGTGTTACAGTGTATGCCAGTGCGCTCAGCTAGCTACCTGGACTGAGGTTCAGCCCAACAAAGGTCATGAGACCCTATCCAAAAATAATTGAATTAAAAAAGCAAAAAACAAAACTGAGTTGTGGCTCAAGGGGTAGAGCAAATACCTGAGTTTAAGCCCTGGCACTGCTATTTTTTTTAAACGTGTGTGCGTGTGCGTGCATGCGCGTGTATGTGTGTGCGTGCGTGTGCATGTGCGTGTGTGTGTGTGTGTGTATGCACTAGAACTAGGGTGGGCGCTGTCTCTGAGATTTTTCACTCACAGCTGGTGATCTACCTGCCAACTTGAGCCACAGCTTTGCTTCTGGCTTTTTTTTTTTTCTAGTTAATTTGAGATAAAGAGTCTTACAGACTTTCCTGCCCTGGCTGCCTTTGAACCAGGATCCTCCGATCTTAGCTCCTTGAGGAGCTATGATTATAGGCCTGACTACCTGCACTCTGAGCTCCACGTACTGGCAGGACCTTAGCTTGCAAAATGAACAGGGCCCCACATCCACATCAAGTCTGAGGTAGGCGGGGCCGGTCCCGGGAAGCCCCAGGAGCACTGGCCAGGTGGGTGCAGCCTCCCCCGCGGGTCTGCAGACCACGGGGGCCACCACACCCAGACTGTCCTCACCCGACAGCCACCTGCAGGGCAGAGGGGTGCGCGCAGGGCAGCGCCTAAGGATGCCTCTCCCAGGATGCCTGCACAGGGCTGAACGACCCCTCCCTGACCCCCCAAGCACTGAGAGGCCACTGTGCTGCCGGGCCTGCCCCAAAGCCTCAGTTTCCCCGCTTGTAAAGAGTGATTTGTCTGGACAAATAAGACAAAGCTGCTGGGGAAGAGCAGACAGCCTCCCGTCCTTAACCACGCACACGGAGGCCCCCTCCGCCCCCCGCGCTGTGAGGAGGTTGTGCGGTGGAGGTGCGTGGGGTGGGCACTCGGGGCGCAGAGGCGGATAGAGCGCCCGGAGGATGAGAGGATGGTGCCAAGCAAGGGTTCTTGGGACATTTGCAGAGAGGGGGTCCTGGGGTTCTCCTCAGGATGTGTCTGTGGCCTGGCGTGGGGAGCAGGGCACCCAACTAGAGACACGGAGGCACGCCTCGGTCCAGCACAGCCAGCCACTGTTGGTACTCCTCTCGAAGGGACACCCCGTTCCCCCCTTCCTCCCCTCCCTGTCCATGCTCCCTAAGCCAGCCATGAGCCCCAAGGCCTCGCTCGCCTCCCGCCTGCCTCCCGCCTGCCTCCCCCCACCCCAGGTCCCCTGGGGCTAGGGCAGCCGGCTGCGGCCTTGTGTTCCTCTGGCCGGCAGCTCAGCCGGCTCTGCAGGGAGGGGTGTGGCGAGGTGGGTAGGGCTGGCCCGGTTGGCCAGGAGGCTGGCACTGGTGCTGCCGTGGACCTGGTGCCCAGGGATTTCCTGTCCCCACCTCCGGAGGTCAGCAGGACAGCGCTCGGGCTGCCCGTGATGCTGATGGCTGCGTTGATAATGGTGATAACGTGGGGCCCAGTCCGGCTGCTGTGCCCTCTGCATCCAGCAAAGCCCTTTCCCAGGCCTGTCCCCCCCCCAGGGGTGGGGGCGGGGAGGGCACTGGCTGAGAGCGGTCAGGCAGGCTGCCACCGGAGGACCCATGCTGGCCCTTGGCTGCCTGTGTGTCGGCGGCTGGATGAACGGCCAGGGTCCGGGCCTGACCCCCGGGCTCCGTGTGATGCACGGTGCCGGGCAGGGGGCTCACCCTCGGCCCTTGCTGGCAGCTCCCAGGGGGCTGAGCCCGGTACGAGGTGCAGCGCGCCCCGCGCAGGGTCTCCCCGGATCCGCGGCAGCCTGGCTTGGAGCCCGGGGCCGACCCGGCCGCCAGGGCTCCGTGCCTCTGTCCAGCCTTGTTCCCGAACCTTGCCCTGGGGATAGGGACTCTGGAAAACACCGCCTTTTGTTGTAGAGCACAGACGAAGCGTGGGCACACCGTTCTGCACCCCAAGGCGGCGCTGGCCCTGCCCAAGCCCACCCACTGACTGTGATCAGCCCAGCGCCAGGTCCTCCTTCTCAGACCCCCCCCCCACCCCAAGAGGCTACTGGAAGCCGTGTCCCAGCCTGGACGGACAACTGCTTCCCACGCACACTGCCTCTGCGCTCAGGGGCGCCTGACCCCTGGGCGTGGCTCCCCCCGCTCTGCGCTCAGGGGCACCTGGCCCATGGCAGTGGGCAGACTCCTTTCCTTGATGCCTCCAAATGCCTGGTCTGGTCCTTGGTACCGGGTGAGGAGCCACCATGGGGGGCTCCCGGCTGCTGAGGGCCAACCCAGATCTCAGCTTCCATCCTGCCACACACACTCCCTCTCTTCCCCCTGGGTCATCCACCAAGCAATACTACTACACTGTGGGGGCCCGAGTGGTCCCCCAAAGTCGACCCTCAAGTGCCCGGTGGGCTGAGCCGGCTGTGAGGCCTCAGTGGGGTCTGGAGGCTGGCCTCCCCCTCCACTGCACCCCATTGTCTCTCTCCAGCCTCCCCCTCCCCCCAGCCTCCAGGCAAGGGCTGCCCCCACGCCCTGGATGGGCTCAAGAGTAGGGCCTCTTGTCCTGCATGGGGCGGGCTCTGCCTGCCCACCTGCCCAGCTGCGGCCCTGATTGGAAAGGGGCCAGCAGCAGGCGTTGCTGGGAAACGGAGCACTCACCCTCCCCACCCAACTGAAATTCCACTATTTTTAGCTTCTGAATTGCTTTCAGATAACATCCAAGTAGACGGAGGAGCCCGCCTCAGACCCCAGAGACTTCGAAGGCAGTAGTGGGCCATCAGAAAGGGCCTTCAGGGCCCTAGAACCTTCCATGGCTCATTAGGGATGCTGTAGGAGTAGGCAGGCTGGCTGGTGGGTACAGAGCCTGGCACCCTGGGGCTCAGCGCAGGTGCTCTGTGGTGCCCTGGGGTTCGGGGCACCCAGGCAGCGGGATATGGAGGAGCTACCCCGCACCTGCATGCCTCCCAGTGCTAGGTGCCCTGACCACGCAGGGCGGAGAACCCCAGGGAGGGACGTGTGGCCACGTGGTGTCACTTGCCAGTAAAAGCATCACTCATTGGACAATTAAACTGCTCAGTGGGTGCTCAGCCAGGCTGGGTGGACCAGGCTCCCCTCAGAGCGCAGTGGGTGGAGAGACCCCACGCATCCCCGTATGCCCAGCCCACATCCTCCACACACGCTCGGCGCTGAGAGGGGCCGTGGCTGACGGCCTTGGGGGCGCTGGGCCGGCCCCGAGGGAGGATGGTGCCATCACGACCGGCCCTGGGTCGCCCCACAGCCCACAGCGGGCTGCGCGGTGAACCTACCTTGTCTTCCATCCGGTGCAGGCGGGCGCCGATGGTGTTGCTGCCTCGGTCTTTGCTCTTCTCTACGAGACAAAGCGCCTGGGTCATGGATGTGTGGGCCCGGGGGGCGCTGGCAGGGCTGAGGGGGGAGGGCCAAGTCCCGTGGGGGCACCTGCGTCTGCGGGGTGGGCGGGGGCAGGAGGGGCGTGCATCCCAGCTCTACCCCAACTCCACAACCCCCGAGAGTCTGCAGAACACATCCTGCCCGCGGCCTTCCCCCTCAGCGGGCCTGTGCCCACTCCCCCCCATGACACCCACTCCGCCGCCCCGTGCCCCCTTCTCCATGCGGGCTTGTCCCAAGCTGTTGGCTTGGCCTGTCCTCCCCCGGTGTGGCTCAGCCCCCATCCAGAGGGCCTGTGGAGCGGCGTGGGTGGTGTCCTGAGAGCTCCTGGGGTCCTGAGCCAGGCGAGACCCCCACCCGCAGGTCCTGGAGCTCCAGCCCCCCATCATCAGCTTCCCCTTCTGATGGGGCCTGCACTCCAGAGTCCGCACCCAGAGCCCGGGTCAGCACCCTGGGGAGGTCAGGTCAGGGGACTCACAGGACCCTCACACCCCTGGCACACCCCTCACGGTCCCCTGTGGTGCCTAAGGCTGCTCTGCTCAGGCTGGGCTGACCTGTGTGTGTTTGTGTGTGGCACGCACTCTGTGGGCCCCATGGCTCCCGACATCTGCCGGGCCCCAGACCCTGCAGAAACCCACCTGAGATGGGGATGAACAGAGAGGGCTTCCCGATGGACTGGTCCAGCCTGGAAGGGACGAGGGACAGCAGCTCGCACTCGGCCAGCGAAACATACGGTGCCCAGCGTCCACCACCCTCCCAGGGTGCCACCCTCGCCACCCAAGACCCAACAAGAGGCTCCTGAGCCCCAGAGTCCCAGATTCCTAAGAGAGCTATTAGGGAAACTCAGAAATGAGGGGCAAACGTTGGGGTACCCCTTGGACTTCCTGTCTCGGTAGGGTGAGGGAGAGCCGTGATGGGGCGTCCCTGAGCCCCTCTGGCCGGCATGCTCTCCCAGCAGTACCCTGCAGCACACAGCTAGCTTCCCAGCCTAGCCATGGAGCTTTCTGCCAGGCTAGCCCACCATGGTCTGAGCCCGGACTGGGTTCCAAGACCCACTGCTTCCAACGGAACAAGGACTCCAGCCAGAGCCCAGAGCGCGTGGGCTCCGGTGCCGGGGTCCCCTAGTCTGGGCTGGCCCAAGTGGGAGGCCCAAAGACGGTGAGCTGGAAGACTCCGTGGGGTGGTCTGGGGGAGCTCCAGCTCCCCGTCATTGCCGCAGCCAGGGCTGGGCAGCCAGGGCTGGGCGGGCCCCGCTCCCCGTGGCCCCCCGAGGCCGGGGCGGGGCTGACGGGGGTAAGCGTGCCATGATGAGGTTCTCCAGGGACCCATGCCCCCGTGCACCTCCTCTGCCCCGTGCCCACCTTCTCTGCATCTCCTTGATGCGCACCATGAGGTTCAGGTGGCCCTGAGAGTACTGCTCGATGACGTCCCGCACATCGTAGGGCTTCCGCGCTTGCTGCCGGCCACAGAGACACGCATTAGCTCCTGTCGTGCAGGCTGGGCTGTGCACGCAGGGGCGGGGGGGGCAGAGGGGAGAAGGGGGGGGACAGGGACGGGGGTTTGGGAGCTGGGGGCCCAGCCCCAGTGTTCTTTCCACCCCTCGCAGGACTGGACAGCACCCCTTGCCACACCCTCTGCCCCTATTTGGTTCCCATCAGCCTTGGGAAGAGCCGACCCACTAGCCAGGGCACCCTGTGCACAGCCAGTGCCTACCAGACCACCTTGCTGACCTTTGACACACTGGCTGTGTCCTGTGCCTTTTTTTTTTTTTTTTTCCTTTTTGTCAGTCGTGGGGCTTGAACTCTGGGCCTGGGCGCTGTCCCTCAGCTCTTCAGCTCAAGGTGAGCGCTCTACCACTTGAGCCACAGCAGCACTTCCGGTTTTCTGGTGGTTTATTGGAGATAAGAGTCTCATGGACTTTCCTGCCTGGTCTGGCTTTGAATCGTGATCCTTAGATCTCAGCCTCCTGAGTAGCTAGGATGACAGTTGGGAGCCACTGATGCCCAGCCACCCCGTGCTTTTCTGAGCTGGGGTGCTGAGTTCAGATCCTCCCTTCTGTAGGATGAGATAGCAAGTCTTGTCCTCTCTTGTGTAAGATGAGATGCTGAGCCTTGTTCTCTTCTCTGTAAGATGGGATACTATGCCTTGTTCCTTCCTTCTTTAAGACAGAGGTATTAAGCCTGAGTCCTTTCTCTATGAGTTACTAAGCCTGTTTCCCTCTTTTGAAAGATGAGACCCTGAGCCTACTTCCTTTCTTCTGGAGGACGGGGAATTGAGCTTAACTTTACTTCTAGAGTAAGAACAAAACAAGATGGTGGGTGAGAAGGCGTGCAAGCCTGGCCTCTGCCTGCACGCCAGGGATCCTGAGTCACAGCAGTCAGCCTCGCGTGGGCCAGAGGGCCCCGGAAGCTCGTGGGCCCTGCAGGCCGGCAGGCCGGTGAGGCTGGGCGAGAGGAGGGAGGAGCCCGGGGCCCTCGGTAGGCTGCCCTGCCCTGGGGGTGTCCGGCCGCCGCATGGAGGGGCTGGTGGGGGGGCTCTGCAGACACACTGGCGATTGCACTCACTGCTCTGGGATGGAGCTGGAGGGGGGAGGGGAGGGAGCAATGCCCCTCTGACACCCCCGGCCCAGCCCAGGCCTGATGGCACATATCTTGGAGCCCAGAGCCCCCACCAGGGTCTGGCCAGGGCTTGTGAGGCCTTCATCAAGTGGTTGCCTGGGGCCAGGCTTGGGAGCCCATCCACCACCTCTGGAGCCAGTGTCCCCTGCGGCAGCCAGACCCAGAGATAGCCAAGATAATGCCGGCCGGCCAGACGGCCCTCGGTGGGCGCGGATGTTCAAGGCAAGCTTGAAGGGCTGAGAGGCCAGACACAGGGGCGCTGGTCAGGGCCTTATCAGCCTGCGGGCCGGTGGGGTGGGGGTGGGGCACCGCCAGGCGGGGGAGGGGCCGGGGAGAGGCCAGCCTTTGTCCTCCCCCCTCCCCCTTGCTTGGTCACCGCTCCCCTGGGGCACCAGGAGAAGCACATGAGGAGGAAAGGCTTGCCTGGCCTGTTCTGGAAGCTTCCCAGACAACTCTCAGGACCCTAGCTTGTAGAATGGGACCCCAGCCCGGAAGGAAGCACAGGCTGCAGGCCCCCTGTCCTGAGAGACAGGGTCTGCACGGGCCACTGAGGCGACTTCCGGGCGGGGCCTCCGCGTCCAGCTGCCCCCCACCCCGGCCCCGGCGCACCCCCACCAGGCCTAGAGGTCCTCGGAGGACCAGGGGTGGGCCTGCCCAGCTGGGGCTGGCGCCGGCCGGGCACAGTCTCCCGACCTTCTGTCTCACCCAGACGACGCCAGCGGCTTGGATGACCGCTGCCAAGCGGCCCCCCAGCCAAAGCGCCACCCTGGCCTTCCCTTTGTCGCTCTGCAGCCTCCTGCAGACGTGGGGGGCCCGTGCTGTGGGCGCGCCTCTCCCCTCCCCTGCACCAGCCTCTGCCCCAGGGCTTGGGTGCCAGGCAGTGGCATGGACGGAGCTCCTAGCACCTCCATTGCAGGGCCCTCAGATCACCCCGGAAGCCGGCAGGCAGACCTCCCGCTGCTGGCCGCCAGGGACTTCTATTCCCTTTGACCCCACGGGAGCCTGGGCAGAGCTTGGTCCGCTGAAGCCCTGAAAGCTCCCTAGGGTGGCGGCCGCCAGGGCAGGGACCACGTGGGCCACGCGGCTCTCCCTTGAGAGGAGGCAAGGCCGGAGGGCACGCGGGCAGGGTCCACACCACACATCCGGTGCCAACCCCCTGAGCTTTCTTTTGGGCGAGTGTTGGGACTTGAACTCGGGGCTGGGGTACTTTTCCTTGCATCTACCTCTTGAGCCATACCCCTACTTCCAGCTTTTTGGTGGTTAGTTGGAGATGAGTCTCATGGACCTTCCTGCCAGGGCTGGCTTTGAACTTTGATCCTCAGATCTCAGCCTCCCGAGCAATGAGGATGACAGGTGTGAGCCACTGTGCCCAGTTTCCTGAGCTCTTGTTATAGAAACAAACTCATGCAGGGTAACCTGTGGGGAGCCTCGTATGCACCTGGGAAGGTGGGGCCGGGACCCCAGGTGGGCGTGGGATGTCTGTGTGGGGAGTCATGGTGGGTAGCCTTCCCTGCCTGGGCGCGTGGGGGCCTTGGGAGGGAGAGCAGCCTCCTCCCAAGGCCTCCGCGCAGGACAGGCCCAGAGCCACCGACCAGCCCAACTGCTGCCAGGTAGCACCTCTGGGGGCTGGGACTCGGGGCTTAGAAGGCCACCTACTCTGCCTCTCGCCTCTCCACTCACAGAGGGCCTGGGGCTGAGGCCTGTCCTGTCCGGGGCCCAGGACCTTGTGGCCCTGTCTCTCACGAATGTAGCTCTACATGAGCCATGGGAGTTGGGATGAGCCCACGAGGTCTTTTGATTAGCAAGGAGATGAGTGTGCGGTCCCCGGGCTAGAGGAAGGATCCCTGGGTGCGGCATGGAGCCCCGGGGTGCTGCCTGTGTGGAGATCGGGGTGCAGGGGGTGGAGGCTGGCGCAGGCCAACCGGCACGAGACTCACCTGGAATCTCTTCTTGGCCACGAAGTACTGCATGCGCCGGATGACTTTGATGGTGGTTCGGTGGTGCTCGCGCAGCCTGGGGAGAGAGGCGAGAGGAGGCTGAGCTCTCATGAGTCGAATCCCACGGCGGCCCGGCGGCCCTGTGGCTGTGGCCAGGCCCCTCAGGAGACGGGGGCATTCAAGGCATTCAACCTGGGGGCAGAGACAGCTTCAAACCTCTCCTGGCTGGGGGAGGAAGATGAACGGGGCAGGAAGTGGGGTGCATTCCCTGGGGGTCACTTTGAAGGAGTTGGGAGTCGTGGCCTGGGTCCTGCACCGTGGCCATCAACAGAGAAGCAGGCAGGAAGCAGGGGCCATCTCCTCCCCAGCCATTCTTTAGAATCCTGTGTTGGTTTGCCTCCAAAGTTCCTTCTAGACACTCCACTGAGACAGAAAGCAGGAGACTGGATATCTACATGCATAGGAAGAAGGTGTGAGGTACCGGGGCTGCCGGAGCCGGGGGGCTGCCTTCTGCTGGGGAGATGGTGCTTGCTGGCTCCCACTGCAACCCCCAGAAATATCCTGCCTGACTGGAGGTGAGGCTTTGGGAAGAGACTACAAGGGCCCAGAGACTTCCAGAACACGGTGTGAGTGGTAGGCTGTGAGGCAGACAGTGGCTTCTAGGTCACAAGGGCACTGGGACACATGGGGATAAGACTGGACTGTCAGGGTCCTCTGCCCAGCTTGCTGTGGCAGAGGCTGCACATGTGGGTGCGGGAGGAAAGCAGCTTTGGGGGGGGTCATCTGCCTGGGACAGGTCCTAGAAACGTCCCAGACTCCTGATAAGACTTGTCCCCTACCTCTGTACTGTCACGAGCCCTCCAGGGAGCAAGCTGTCCTGCCCTGGTTCTGTTTGCACACCAGAAAAACAATCCTGTTATCTGCACAGAGATGCTATCAGCAAGTGCCTACTCTTTATTTTCATATACAAAAGGACAGAAAAGCAAGGGAAAAAGCAGACCTCAGATACAGATCTAAAGGGAGCCATAAGCAGTAGCCTTCCATACTTGAGGCTCTTCTAGTCAGGAGATAAAAGTTGTTTTTCCTACTCCTGGTGACTTAACCCCGGGAGGCTGGTGTGTGTCACTTGGGTGTGGTCAAGGTGGCCCTGTGGACCAGCCTGAGCCCTGAGCAGGTGATTGGATGATGGTAGATGATCCATTTGCTCAAGGAGAGCTGGCAGGACCACCGCTCCGCCCTGCCAATGCTGTGTGCCAGTGCTGCGTGTCAGTACTGAGTGTAGGTACAGTGCCAGTACTGAGTGTCAGTACTGAGTGTCAGTACTGAGTGTCAGTACTGTGTGTAGGTACAGTGCCAGTACTGAGTGTCAGTACTGAGTGTCAGTACTGTATGTAGGTACAGTGCCAGTACTGTCAGTACTGGGACTTGAACCCAGGGTTTTGCCTTCTCACTTGGTTTTTTCACTCAAAACTAGAGTTCTGTCACTTGAGCCACAGCTCCCCTTCCAGCTTTTTTGCTGGTTCGTTGGAAATCAGAGCCAGCCGGGGCTGGCTCTAAATGGCAGTCCTCTGAGCTCAACCTCCCGAGTAGCTAGGGCTGCCGGTGCGAACCATGGGTGCCCCGCTGAAGTCCAAACTCTGGAACTGCAGCATCACGATACTGGGGGGGGGGCTGGCTGTGCAGCCATAAAACAGTGCCAGGGAGGCGCGGGCGCCGCGGGGCGTGGTGTCACCAGTCTCCTGGGACGCGTGGTGGCGGCGGGGGGAGCAGAAGAAGGGGCCCTCATGCGGAGGCGGCGTTGGGGACGCCACGTCCGGGTTGGGATCCAGGTCTCCTGCAAGGGTGTGCACCCTGGCATGGGTGAGACACAAGCATTTATAACTCCCACCCAAAGCCAAGGCCGCAAGGCCACAGCCGTCTCCACCGCGGGGGAGGGGACCCTCTGCTCTGAGCTTTGGCCTGAAGAGACTCTGGGGGCCTCACTTTTATCCCTCCTTTTTTTTTTTTTTTTAAAGAGTGTTGGAATTTGAACTCAGGACCTTGCACTTGCCAGACAGGTTCTCCACCTCTTGGGCAATCCTCCCAGCCCTTTAGGCCTTAGTCATTTTTTTCAGGTACACTCTTGCTTTTCTTCTCTGGTAATCTTCTTGCCTGTACACCTCCCCCTCCCCCTTGCCCCCTCCCTGCCCACGGTTGGAATGACAGACAGAGATCACCACGCCCAGGCATGGTGGAGGCAGGGGTCTAGCTAAGTTTTTTCCAGTGCTAGCCTCAAACTACAATCCTCCTGATGTCTGCCTCTTGAGTCAGAAGCAGAGTTCTAGGGGTTGTTTCCTCATGGACAAGTCTGAACAAAACTGCTGGAAAAGCCACATGCCAGAGGGGAGGTTTGGGGGAGGAGGGGCCAGCTGAGGCTGGACCAGAGAGAGCTCACCTGCTGAGAGGCGCATCACAGGGGGACCGGAGGGGGGACCGGAGGGGGGACTGAGGAGGGGGGAGGGGGAGGGGGTATCCCAAGGACTTGTGAGCAATGAATGGTTGACTTTAGGAGTTTTTAAGATGAGAACTTAAGAATAAGCATGATAAATAGATTCAATAAAATGAATAAAAAGATGAGACATTGCATCTGAGATAAAAGCTATCGACTACGTGTAACGGGGAAATTCTAGAACTGAAAGGCAATCACGCACTGTTAGAAAATATAATTGGTGGATTTGGTAGCGGAGGCAAGCTAATGGAAAGAGAATACCTGGGAACTGATGACCTCGCCAGCTGGCAGCAGAGAAAGAAATGAAATTAAACTGCATGAAAGGAGGAGATGAAATAAACAAAAAGAAAAAGCGCACTCACCGCAAGTGGATTTATATCCCAATTAAAAGACAAAGATCATCAGGATTAAGAACAGCCACGTAAGTTCACTTTAAAATCTCATAATGCAGAAAGATAGACAGTAAAGGGACAGAAAAATACATACCATGCTGTCGCTAAAGGAAAACTAGGCTAGGCAAACTACTGTCAGACAAGTAGACTGTGCTCCTAGAGAAAAAGAACTTCCCACAGACATGGAAGTGTCAAACTGGCAGGAAGAGATCAATTTGTATACATCCTCATACATCATCTTAAAACACAGAAAGCAAACTGATAAAGAGAAGATAGAAGGAGACCCAGTCAGAGCACGGTGGTTTATACTAGTCTTGCTACTTGGAAGGTGGACATAGGAAGACTGTGGCTCACAGGCAGCCTGGGAGAAAAGTCAGTGAGACTTTCTCAAAAACCAAGCTGGGCATGGTAGCTCCTGTCTCTGGTCCCAGATGGGAGAGAAGGTAGGAGGATCTCTGTATAAGGCTGGCCAAGGCAAAAGTTTGAGATCCTATGTGAAAGAAATGAAGAGTAATACAGGGTTGGAGGCATAGCTCAAGTAGTAGAGTACCTGTCTAGCAAGGGTGAGGTCCTAAATTCAAACCCCACAGCACAAAACAACAACAAAATCAGCGTCTACAATAGGGGATTTGAACCCATTAATGGTGTCTAGGAAAGTGATCAGAGTATCAGCAGAGACAAAAGTGGGTAGCGTGAATGCCAGCCTGACCTATGGACACAGACAGAACACTGACCCCCCACGGTCTTGTGCTTCAGTGCTTGTCTTTCTCCCACCCTCCTTTCCTCTCGTTTATAGGTGCTGGTCCTGCGGTTTGAATTCAGGGCCTGGGTGCTGTCCCTCGGCTTTTGTGCTCAAGACTAACGCTTCATCACTTGAGCCATAAGTCCACTTTGAGTTTTGTTTTCTGGTGGTGAATTGAAGATAAAAGTCTCATGGACTTTCCTGCCTGAGCTGGCATTGAACTACAGTCCTCAGATCTCAGCCTCCTACATAGCTAGGATTACAGGTGTGAGCCACCAGCATCCACCTTGGGTCCTGTGGTTTGAAAGTGCACACAGCGACTACCAAGAGATCAAAGGCAAGGTTCAAAAAGCAAAGTCCAGCAGGTTTTAAATTAATTACATCACATTTAGCATCATTTTTAACTGCTGGGAATTTAAACTACTAAAGATCAATAATGTGGAGATGGGAGGGAAGGGAGGAGGCAACACACTTAATAAGAAATGTACTCATTACCCTGCTCATGTGATTGTAACCCCTTTTTACACTATTTTCACAATAAAAAACTTACTACAAAAAGATCAATAATACCTACGTATGCAAACTAGGTAAGCCACAAGTGTTTTGGACATTTAGCACTCTAAATAATGCAAGGATCAAAGAAAAAAATCTGACACGAATCAGGAAATGGTTTTAATTGAATAATAGGAAAAAGACAGCACACCAAAAGGTCTAGCCAAGTCTAGCGGAGGGGTCCACAGCTTTAGTGCCAGCACCGTGAGTGGGGGAGCGAGGCTCCAGACCAGCAAGGGAGCCTCTGTCCCAAGACAAAAGTGACAGCAAAGTCAGCGTGTGAGGTCCCATGGAATGGTTGCTAGAGGAAAAGGGGTGACTTTAAATGTGTTTACCGGGAGCAGAGGCTGGACTCCATCTCAAGAAGTTAAAAAACAAAACAAAGGAACCCCAAAGGAAGTTGAAGGAGAGAGATGATAAAGATAAGAACAAAAGTTGATGAAATAAAAAATGAGCAGGATTGAAGGAAAATCAACACGGCTAGCATGTGGTTTTCCACGGGGACTAATACAATTGATAAACTCTCCTTAAGAATGGTAAAGTGGGCAAGGTGGCCCCAAAACGCCCAGGGCGGGAATTAGTGGTCAAATCACTCTGGATCTAGAACATTAAAAAAAAAACTGTTCAGAGGATAATAGGAACAAACTGATTTTAATCAGTTAGATTAAGTGGACTAATTCACCATAAAACATATAAAAGGAAGACACAAAAGAAATAAAGATACAAATTGCTCCATGTTAATTAAGTTAAGTGTGGAATTTTAAAGATCTTCCCACAAAGAAAACCCAGTCTAGATGACTTCACCAGTAAATTCTTCCAAACGTTTAAGGAAGAAACAGTAACTTGCCACAAATCTTCTTAGGGAGTTTTTATGAGGTGGCATAATCTTGTAGTCCAAGGGA